TTGTTTTTGTTTTGATAAAGCATTTACATGTAGCCCCAACTGGCCTGAAACTCACTGTGTAGATCAGGGAGGCCTTGATATCAGAGAGACCTGTCTGCCTCCCAAGTGCTGGGATTAAAGGCATACACCACCACGCCCGGCGATAAAATATTTTAAAAAATAAATAAACAAATTTAACGCCTTTACTCCCAGCATTCAGGAGGCAGAGGCAGGTGTATCTCTGTGAGTTCAAGGCCAGCCTGGTCTACTTATCGAGTTCCAAAAATAAATAAACAAATTTAACGCCTTTACTCCCAGCATTCAGGAGGCAGAGGCAGGTGTATCTCTGTGAGTTCAAGGCCAGCCTGGTCTACTTATCGAGTTCCAGGCCAGCTAGAGCTACAGGGAAACCCTGTCTCAACTCGCCCACCCCCCAACAAAAAAAACAAAAAAACTATTCTTATTAGGTAGGGGACATGCCACAGTGTGCATGTGGAGGTCAGAGGACAACTTTTAGAGTCGATTCTCTCTTTCCACTTTTTATATAGGTTCTGAGGGTTCTCTCCTTCCATCCATCTAATAAGAATACTTTACATGCATGTCCCCTATCTAATAAGAATTCTTTACATACACGTCCCCTATCATCTAATAAGAATACTTTATATGCATGTCCCCTATCTAATAAGAATACTTTTTTTTTAGATGCATGTCCCCTACCTAATAAGAATACTTTTTTTTTTTTTTGGTTTTTTGAGACAAGGTTTCCCAGCACCCCCAACTGGAACTCACTATGTAGACCAGGCTGGCCTCGATCTCACAGAGATCCACCTGCCTCTGCCTCCCAAGTGCTGGGATTAAAGACGTTAAATTTATTTTTTAAAAATATTCTTGGTAGGGGCTGGAGAGATGCTCAGCTGTTAAGAACACTGACTGTTCTTGCAGAACATCTGGGTTCGAATCCCAGCACCCATATGGCAGCTAACAACTATCTGTAACTCCAGTTCCAGTGGATCTGACAACCTCTTTGTCCTCCACAGGCATTGCAGGACACAGGTGCACTTACCTACATGTAGGCAATACATGCATACACATAAAAGTAACAAATAAAATATTAAAATATATATATTCTAGGGGGCTGAAGAGATGGCTTAGCAGTTAAGAGCACTGGCTGCTCTTGCGGAAAACCCAGGTTCAATTCCCGGCACCCACATGGTGGCTAACAATTGTCTGTAACTCCGGTTCCAGGGGATCCAACGCCCTCTTCTGACCTCCTTGGGCATTGTACAACACAGAAGCACCTACTTACATGCAGGCAATACACCCATACACATAAAAAAATAAAAATAAAAATAATATTTTTTAAAAACCATATATATATATATATTCTTGCTAGTATGCTGGTATGATAGCAAAGGGGTGGAAGTACCTCTAATGGTTCAGAAAGAACTATTATGACTTCAGAGTAGCTACTTATGATGGCCTGAGCTATTGCTGACTAGTGTAGAATCTACCACAAGGTTGTTGCGAGGAGACATGAGCAGAGAGTCCTGATGGACAAAGTTCTCTATGAATTTTGGATTGTTTATAAGATGGGAAGACCCTTGCAGCCCTTCCAACAGAAACTCAGGCTGTCCTACACTGTGACGAATGTTTCAGCTTACTCATGCTGATGCCCTTTCTGCTCTTGGCTTTACAGATGCCTGCCAAGCTGGTACCTGGCATAGCACTGTAAGAGCTACAGCAGGATGGGAGAACACATGGCATGACCAGGCTCCCCGAATTCTGCTGCATCCTAATTTTCTGTCTTTTTCAATCAGGTAACAGTACAAAGACTCACCTTTCTCCTTAGCCAAAGGCCAGAATGAAGTCGAAGAAAGCGATAGATGACAGCTTTTACAGTCTTTCTCTTGCCTTTCCGTGTGCTGCAGTATGTTACAGTTCTGACTGGCAGCTTCAGGATACTGGGAGCCAAGGGGGCCACTCTAAAATACAGTTTTAAAAACTCAGCAATCAGACCAAGGATGAAATCCATTTCTGCACAGTGCTTAGAAGTGAGCCAGGTATGATGGCACACACCTTTAATCCCAGCAGATGCAGATGCAGAGGCAGATGGACTTCTGTGAGTTTGAGGCCAGCCTGGTCTACAAGCGAGTTCCAGGCCAGCTGGGGCTACAGAGAGACCCTGTCTCAAAAAGAACAAAAAAAAAAAAAAAAAAAAAAAACAGCAACAACAAGAAAAAAAAATAGTGAGTTATGCTGACTTTGAATATACAACACTGCTTCAAGTGATCCTTGTCGCTAAGGACAGATAAGAATAGCAACTATCCCAACTGCAAGTCTTCCAAAATCCACCCTACTAGGAGTGGTAGAGCCTCAGCATGTATAACGCCTAAGGTTCAATTCCATAACACCAAAAATAAAACCCTCCCCTCAATCCCTATGAAAGAATTTATCCTACTATATTTTATTTATTTATTTATTTTTTGGTCTTTTTGAGACAGGGTCTCCCTGTAGCCCCAGCTGTCCTGGAACTCGCTATGTAGACCAGGCTGGCCTCGAACTCACAGAGATCTGCCTGCCTCTGCCTCCTGAGTGCTGGGATTAAAGGCATGCGCCACCACACCCGGTCTCCTACTATATTTTAATCACCCAATTTCGTATCCATCTGCTCACCAAACTATAAACTCCTTGAGAACGTTAACTTGTTTATCTTTGTGTTTTTTCTGCTAAGTACAGTTCTGGGTATCTAAGGGGTGCTTAACTGAGTATGTGTTGGCCATATAAGCCATATAAACTAAGCTCAGTCATATAACCTAAGCATCTTGTTTGATCTTTGGGTTGTCTGACAGCTTCTACCTGGAAATCACATGTAAAACATCAGAAATGAGCTCTAGGGGTGGAGGTGGGGATCACTGGTAAAGCACGTGCCTAGCATGCACAAGGCCCTAGGCTCCCTCCCAGCACTGTAAAAGTTTAAGAAAAGGGGGGTAGGGGATGCTGGAGAGATGGCTCAGTGGTTAAGAGCACTGACTGCTCTTGCAGAGGACCCAGATTTGCTTCCTAGCACCCACATGGAGGCTAACAACTATCCCTGACTCCAGTTCCAAGGAATCCAACACTCTCTTCTGACCTCGACAGGCATTGTACAACATGGTTACACTTACACAGATGCAGACAATACACTCATACACATAAAATAAAGATAATACTTTTTATTTTAAAAAAATGGGGGTGTATGCTGCAGAGATGGGAGTACATACTGTTCTTGTTGAAGATCAGGGTTTGGTTCCCAGTACGCACATGACAGCTCACAACCATCTGCAATTCCAGTTATAAGGGACCCAACACCCTCTTCTGGCCTCTGTAGGCTCTACATACAAATGTACCCATAAACCCATACAGGCGCACACAAATACATAAAGATAAATAAATAAATCTGTTTGTTTTTTTTTTAAAGGAGGGCATAATAGTGCAACCCTGCCACTTAGAAGGTTGAGGCAGTAGGGTCACTGCAAATTCATGGCCAGCCTGGTCTACATAGCAATTTTTAGGCCAGCCAGGACTACACAGAAAGACCTATCAAGACAAAGAGAGTGAAAGGGGGAGGCAGAAAGAGGTGAGAGAGACACAGAGAAACACACACACAAACACACACGCATGCACGCGCACGTGCACACACACATGCACACGCACACACACACCCCAGAAAGAGAGAGAAAGTGTGTTTTGTCTAGTTCCTGTTGTTGGCATCTAGGGCATCAATCACATTCTCATCCTTAATCAGGCAAAGTGTGCATAATAAACCACAGACAGGGAAAGAACAGCATCTACTTCTAAAACCTCTTGCCCACACAAATATTTTATTTATTTTGCAGTGGTGGGAAGTGAAGCGAGGGCCTCACACATTAGGCAAGCACTCTACCACTGAATATCTCCAGCCTAGGCACGATTAATTTAGAAATTTTGTTTAAAGATTATGTTTATTGAAATGTACTCTACCTATTAAATACTGCTGCAGTATGCCCACATGTCAGGTTTCTGAGAGATGTGACAAGTCCAGGAGCAGCAGAAACAACTGGTGTCTGAATATGTCTAAAATGAATAGTTCTCAGTGCAGAATTAAGACAGGCATTCTTGGCACAGTTCCAGTAGGTTGAAGATGCCAAAATATTCAGGGGTCGTAAGATTCCTGTAAAGACAGCGAGAAGAATATATACCTAATATGACATATCCACATATTTATAGTATGAAAGCAACCAAGTGTTATACATCCTGAGTATCAGACTGACATGGAGTTTTTTACCAGCTTTATTGAGGTATAACTTTCTCAGTGTAAAATTACACATTTTATATGCTCAATGCTTTTTAGAAAATTTAAGATTTCTACAGCTGTCATGTAATCTAGGCTGATGTGTCTTAGCTATATGCCCAGCAGTGGAGAACAGATATGCATAAGATTAATTCCCACCCCCAGATCTCCACAGGGAGACAGCTCTTCTCCCACAATGGCAGGACATGAAAGCTCAAGCTCTCCCTCAAAAGACTATTGAGTGGTGAGAGGACTCATGAAGAAAACAGAAGAGACACTTCAGTTCTCTTGAAAATGAGCAGACCTGCTGGGCATAGCAGTACACACCTATAATCCCAACACTTGGGAAATAGGGGGGGGGGAATCAGGAGTTCAAGGTCATCCTTGGCCACATAGGAAGTCTGAGGCCAGCCTAACCTACATGAGCTCCAGCCTCAAACAAACAAACAAACAAACAAACAAAAAACCAGTGGGGGCAGGGCCGGGAGATGGTTTAATTGGTAAATTGCTTGCTATGCAACCTTAGTTAGGATCCCTAGCACCCATGTCAAAGCTGGGTATGGTATAATCACATTTAGTACTGGGGGTTGGGGGCCAAAGACTACAGCAAATCCCAGGGGCTTGATGGTAAGCCCCAGGTTTAGTGAGAGACCGTGTCACAAAAAAAAAAAAAAAAAAAAAAAAAAAAAATCGTGTAAAGGTGAAGAGCCATAGAAGACACTCAGATCAACCTCTGGTCTCTACACCTACATGCATGGGCATGCACACCTGCACATACATGTTCATATGCATATACATACAAAAACAAAATTAACAGATCATTCACGCATGTGTGTGACATTTTGGGTAGGACAAGCAACATAAGCAAAGTCCTGAAGGGTGAAACAAATACAGATACGAGAGCAAGACCAGGCCTTCCACAGGTGCTGCACACGGCTTGCCCAACCATAGCAGAAATGCCTGGGGACAAGTGGGAATGAAGTTGGGCAGCCAGAAGGTAGAATTCAGGAGGTAGATACAACTGCATACTGTCTTCTTCATCAGTCCGCATTTCGCCACATAACAAATTAGAATCTCTCACAGCACTGACTCTCCTAGTGCTTTCTACCCAAATCTAATGAGAGACTTAAGGATATACATACCAGGGCTGGAGAGATGGTTAAAAGCACTGGCTGTTCTTGCAGATAACCCAGGTTCAGTTCCCAGCACCCACATGGTAGCCAACAATCATGCATAACACCAGTTCCAGGTGGTCTGATGCCCTCTTCTGGTCTCTGTGGGCACTGCATGCACACGCACACACGCATGCACACACACATGCACATATATACAAACATTCACACATAAAATAAAAAATAAAATATTTAAAACTAAATAAAAAACACCAACAAGAACAATTTGAGCTGGCCATAGTGGCCCATGCCTGTAATTCCAGCATTCCAGAGGCAGAAACAGAACAATCGCCACAAACTCAAGTCCAGCCTGCTCTTCATGGTATGTTCCAGAACAGCTAGGGCTAGATAGTGAGACCTTTTCTGAAAACCACCAACAATAAATTATACCTGAATCTGATACTCAGCCAGGACTTGGAACAACAGCCCTATTGAACACTGCACTGATTTCACCAAAAAAATTGGGTCAGTGTGATACATAAGTGAAGTGACAGGGTTTGAACCAGACCAGGTTCTTATTTTGGCTTTACTATTAGTAGTCTGATTATGAGCAAGTTACTTAGCTTCCCTATACCCAAGTTTCCTCAAATTTAAATTAGCTAATTACAGGGAGATAATGAGAATTAAAAGAGATAAAACATTAAAGTGATCTGAAGAGTGCTTGGCTCAGAGAAAATTTCTAATGAATGCTAACAGCATATAGGCATGCTGAAGAAAACAGGTACAGAGCTGTGCGCCCATTATCTCAGCACTAGGAAACAAGCAGTACTGAAAGTTTGAGACCAGCCTGGGCTACCTACAGAGGCCATCTCAAAAACAAACACAAACAAAAAAGAATTTCCAATAAGCTGTAACATTATTCTTTTAAATGTTTTCAGTAGAATTTAAATACCAAAGTGAGGACAGCAAGATGATCCTTGGGTGAAAGTGTTTGCCACTCAAGACTAACAACCTGAGAGTTTGAACCCCACAACGCACAATGGAAGGAAAGAACTGACTCCCAAAGGTTATCCTCTGACCATCACAGGCTTGACATGGCACACACCATCCAGCCCACACCAGCCCACATAAGCACACATGGGCATGCACAAATGAATAAAAATAAATTTTAAGGGGCTGGAGAGATGGCTGTTCTTGCAGAGGACCTGGGTTCAAATCCCAGCACCCACATGGCGGCTACCATCCATAACCCTAGTTCCAAGGGATCCGACATCTTCTGACCATCTCGGGCACTGCACAACGTAGGTGCACTTACATACATGCAGGCAATACACTCATACACATAGAATAAAAATAACAAATTAAAAAAATAAAATTTAAGCCGGACGTGGTGGCACACGCCTTTAATCCCAGCACTCGGGAGGCAGAGGTAGGTGGATCCCTGTGAGTTCAAGGCCAGCCTGGTCTACATAGTGAGTTCCAGGACAGCTGGGGCTACAGGGAAACCCTGTCTCAAAAA